AACTTTCAGCCAAATCTGCCCCCGCAGAAAAAAGTCGATCAAGATCCAGCCCGTTTTCGGAAAACTGGGGTAGTAATAGTTGAATAGTGCCGAAAACTGTTATGCTGTACCTATACAAAAAATTATGGTCACATGTAAAAATATAATAAGACCGTGGGGAATTTGTGGACACTAGTGGTCCGCACAATAAAATAATTTATTCTCTTCTCTAGCATGAAATTGTATACTTCTTCCTGTACAAGCAGACATAGCACTCACCACAAACATTCCTAACATTAATGAAAAACCAAAAAAAAATCGGACAACCAATCGATAAAGACGACCTCCACCAGAGTTTCAGAAGTCACCATTAATGTCGAATTTCATTGTATGGTAGACACACGCAGCATAGTCGTCACGAGGAGTGCACAACGACTCGATCGATTTCAATAGCGTGGTCTTAAATCGATAATTGATTTTTAGTAACCGTGAGACAGTTTACTCTTTTTGCGCGATACACCAAAGCAGTTCACAATGTCACGATGTTTGATCGATGTATTGATCGAATAACTGCTGGACATACTCATTCAATCGATATATCGATATATGGCACTTTTCTACGGCGTAAGTAAGTAGGATCCCTGTGCAATCAATAAGCTGATTGAATATGGTTCCTATATAGATAAGTATGCTGATTGGAGAAAGCTGTCCAGTCTTTGCCGCTGACGACGCACGTACAGATTCAGTTATAGGAATGGAATGGACCATTCGATATATTGATTGATTTCACTCACCCTGTAGGAATAGCTGACTCCACGTTTGTTCGTGTAAGTGTGGCACATCTTCTGGCATTGTTGCAGCCTGTTCCCGTCGAGTTGCGATCTATCCATAACGTGAACAACAGCTGTTAGAACGCCCTGAAATTGTGGTGGCTATCCGAAAGGCTGTTATAAGTTCCGCTTTGATGTAATACACGACCGCTCGGTACTTTTCTCACAGTCTTCTCGCAGAGGGAAAAAGTGCGGACTCGTCTGGACGGGGGCTATTTAAACATTAGAAGGTGCGACGGGTTATGTGGATGGGCTTTTCCAAGAGGAGTGCTGAAGTAAGTGAGCTATTTATTATACGTGAAAAGCGTAGATGAAAGAGGGCCTTTGTTGCGGACGGGTTCAACCGCCGATCAATAACCGCCTCTAGTTCAGGGCATCTATGTGAGCGGGTATTTTGAAGGAGCTGTAGAGGCGATCGGCTTAAGGCCTGATCAATAATCGCCGTCCACTCCTAGCCAGTGAGCCGGCGTTTGAATATCCCTCTTTGGCGGGATCTCGGGGTATAAATACCCTCGGCAGGAGCTCTAGGCAGTTTCGATTCCACGGACGCGACCGACAGCTCAACGCCAACGCCGACGCCAGCACCTCGCCGACTCCAACCGACACCGGATCAGCGGAGCAGTCCGCTACACCTTGTTCGCAATCTGATGAGCCTGCGGTACGGTGCTGGAGGGTATTAATGTCCGGGTACCATCTTCATACCCCGCTAGCTCTGTCACATGGCCAGCCACACGCCTAACCATAGCGAAACGTGCTACTTGTCTTAGCTCACTCATCGTCCTCAACCACTGATTACGTGTTCCGTTGCGGGACCTTAGTATCGGAGAAGTGCTGAATCTTGGGGATAGTGCGGGCGGAGCATAGGCACTCGTGCACCACTACCCCCCACCCCCCAAGCCCCATTCCCATGCATTCTCGAGCGGGGAAAATGGCATACTACTGCACTGCGGACCCATTCACCTCTCACATGGCAAGCAGCTTTCTCGGAGGTGTGTGTACAAATTGCTTTTAGAGAAGTTACATCATGAGCGGCTCTGCCAGCGTGCAAGCTAGAGGTGTGAAATAAAATCTTCTGACAGATCCAATACCCTAGGCGAAAGAACGTAGATGAAAGTAGAACATTAGTGTAATATGAAGGAAAGATTTTGGGCAGGTTGGGGACCGTTGATGCGCTACCGAGCTGAGCATACCTAGAATGCATGCAGGGTAGAGGTGATCCTTAATGCAAACTGTTTTGCATGGGTGTGCAGTAAAAGGTACGAATAGTGGCCTTCATCTAGAAGAACAAGTTTTCCGACGGGAAATCGTGTCATTTACACTTCTTATCCCTGAGACGGAGTAGGCGTGGCTTTTGAGCATGGCATAGGACGGGTTACTCGTGGGATACTTCAATTTGAAACAACTGCTATCTTGTTCTGTGTTAGATGTAGACATGATTACGACTGCTCCAAAATGACAATATCTCACGAAAACCTGGGCCGCCGCCATTTTAAATCAAGTACGCAGCCACGCCTACCCGATCTCAGGGATTTCGAGTATATCTACCTGTTTGAGGTAGTTCCAGTATTCTTCCATTTTATCACGTGCGTCTTCATGGCGTTCGTTCAATTCTCTGCGTGAGGGTGTACACATCTGAAATAAGACAGAATCAAGTTGATGACAAGGAACAATAAAACATCGTAGCAAAACTATAAGTATACATTAGAGGAGGGTAATTTAGTGGCAAGTGGTACGCTTACCAACTCCCAACCAACCAAGTCTTCTACCCTCCAGGAATGGTAAATTGTAAACAGATTCGTCTGCAAGGACAAGAACACATTTCATAGGCCAGATGCATTTAGTGAGCCACCACAATTCCGATGAGAAGTTCAATCCTCATCCCTGCCATGGAATATGCGTGGCTGCCCACGATCGGATCAAAACGAAAATATACGTTGGCCGCCGCGTTCACTTCACATACGCAGCCGCGCCTGCCACATCTCAGGAATTTCTGTGTAGATGCGTGCCGCATCCCAAAAAATTGATTGAGCAACAGTGAAATCATAATATTAATCCTACATGGAGCAAATAAAGGTGAGTCCTTTCTACGTACTCACTTTGAAATACAGTGTCTGGCGGTCTTGTTGAGTGTCGCATTTCTCTGAACCCTCATTGAATACGTACTGCCTGATTTCGCTTGTCCTCTTGTTTGACTCCTCTCTTACAGTATCACATAGGTGACAGAATTGGCTAAATGGATTTATCAGTGATTAATTAGAAATTACGCATATTGTTACGGCCGCATCTAGGTTCGCCAGGACAGCCTAAGTGCGTCGCGGCGCTTCAGACTCCGTGGACGGCTGATAGACGAGAGTAGACGGAAAATACGTCACCGGTAAATTCCGTCAAGGGGAAATGAAAGCATGCGAAAGTAGAATGGACTACTAGGTGCGAGCATGGGGAAACATGTGAGACTGCACACTTTCCGTGATCTATGCTTAACTGAAAGAATGGCGAGAATCTTTCAGACGTGATTTTGTCTGTCGGCGCTTCTACCAAGAGCGCGTTCATACGTCGCAATCTGATCACTTGGATCGCGCAATGAGATCGCTTGGGCGGTTGGTTTGCATGGGCGCTCAATCGTTAATCACTGGACGCCACAGCAGCAGAATCCACTTGAGTCGCATCATGCACCGTATGCCCACCGACTGGGGTACCCTGGTCGTGTATGCGCGATCCAGCGATCGGATCGTGAAGTATGAACGCGCTCTGAAAGCTGCGAATTTCGAGTTTCACCATGTAGTTGCTCACCACTCACCATGTTTCCTTATTAGCCAACATTCCTCGTAGCCGGTCGTTGACACTTTGTGGACACCAGTTGGTACGAGTTATATTGGTGCAAATGTTTGACACCGCATTACGACCATCAGCTCGACAGGGAATGTTCTGTCCAAGTTGGAGGAATGCTTCAATGTACCTGAAACCATCATTTGAACCTCGCAGGTTATAAAACGTCCGTCTTGGCGTCATCCACCATGTTAAAATTTTGAAACAGTATTATGGTATTGACTTAAACGCTTCAACAGTTGAGAGCTCGTGTGCTTACAGAACTGCCGAACCATTGATGGTACGGGAAGGCAAAAGACATGACTCAAGGGAGCTCAAGTTTAGCAGTGAAAAGGCCACACCCTCGATCTCAGGGTGAAATCTTATGGTTAGGGCGAGCGGAGGGTATCTTCGCCCTCACGTGAAGACTCATGCAATGAGACTGCTCAGGAGTCCCCGTTCAGAGTGTTGAACTCGTAAGTCAGAGCGGATTGGTGACCTTTGATGAAATGGGGGTCCCAAGGGAATGCGAGGTTCTACCTGTTTTTTTCTTCACTGGAGGGCCATTTAGCGACTGCAGGCAGCGAACTGTACACCATTATCCATGGGTTATCTAATTTGTCTTCAGTAGCAGCTACGCAATGAAAGGATAACTGCTATCTTCCCAGTTGATCTAACGGTAGTAGTAGAGGAAGTATTTCGGAAAATTAACCTTATCATCACCGTGAGTCTGAACAACGTTTGAACTTAAAACATCGTGTGATGTTTTCGCTGTCGACGTGGTAACGTTTGTGAGCGGGAGATCTTCAAAGCGCCACACTTTTGGCAATTAGAACCGTTTTATCGCTTTCAAAGTGTAATATTGAAATTCCTGGCTGCATTGAGCTTGAGCGGTCCTTTGATAAGTTTTAGATGTAGCTGTGAAAGTACATCTGACTAACAATATAGTGAATTCGACAATTATGATTGGCTGATAGGGGATCGAAGGGCTAGCACCTCTGAAAAATACCAGTAATGCTCAGCGCAGAATGGAGAACTCATGCGTTCCTGAGGACATGCCCAGCTCGCTATAACGGAGGCCGGAATTGGCTGACCGATCCATATCTTGCCAAACCTCTGGCTAAACCAAGCCCTTCTACGTCTTATTCGCGCTGATGATTCTCAACGCTCTCAAGTTTCACAGGAGGTAAGGAAACGACATAGGTTCACCACAAGTGTGACAAAACAAATTATTTATACCATCTTATATTGCTATAAAATGGAATTCAGACTGGCAAGGACCGCTCTCCTACTGTTCAGTGCAATAGAAACAAAGGCTACGGTTGGTGCGATTCGACCGATCTGGACAGGGTCTACATTATGAGGACCAACTGCAGAAAGACATGTGGCTTCTGTTAGTGGTGGCATAACAATATATCACAAATGAAGCTTCTCGGAATCATCAAATCAATATCACACCTCAGCGGTCGCTTCACGGTATCGCTTAGTGAGAGAGGTGCTTCTTCAAGCATTTCAGCGTGATGCTGTTTTCACTGGGGCAGCGGCCTGCCTCATTACATTTCCTACACTCAATTATTACGGTAGTGCTTGTATTCACCTTTCTTGAGGGACTGTATCTCATGATCGGAGTACAGCATTGTGATGTGTAGGTGGTGGTGTTGGTGCGACCCCCCCCACTTACAAACTCTTTTTCCTTTTCCAAGTTCAATATTTCACCCAAAAATTTTGCTGATGGAGATGGGGGAGGGGAATATGGAGAATGTGAAACGAGAAAAACCGCAAAAAGTCGCCAACAAAACGCGGAAGATTTTTTCTCACGCGGCGAATATCTGGCGAGGCGATACGATCCCCTCTCTTCTCCCAACAACGCAAATACGACCCTCTCCTAGAGAAAAAAAGCGACCCCCTAGTGCGTTTCACACAACGATGCTGTAAGCATGTTCATAATTCCAATTCTCTGAAGTGGCATTGTACCCTGAGGCACGAGCCTGTCACTTGGAAGTTGTAAGGTTTTACTACCGTGCGTCGGCGAAAACGTGTGTCTTTGAAGGTAGTGGGCACGATTGCTGGGAGCTAGGGGTTGTCGCCGACGTCATTGCCGAAGGGGTGAGTGGGGATGAGGTCGGAGACTCTCTCACAATGACGATGGCAGCAACCACTCACCTCCAGCAATCGTCCCGCTGCCTTAAAAGAACAAGAGAGAACAAAGGCTGTAAACTTCTGTGCTCTTCTGATGAAATGCCTCTTCTCCTTCCCGTCTTGGAAGGCAATTGAGAATTAGGCGGGACAGACTTTCTCCACCCATTTCCACATATATATCGCCTGTGTAAGTTGTCTGTAAAATGCCTTTTGGAGAATGTTACCGAAGAAAAGTACTTGTGCGTTAAGAAGCATGTCGGAGTGCCCGCAGCAGATTTGTCTTTTATCTACTTGAACATTTCTGGAAGCGTTATGCTCGCTTCGTCTCATACTCCTATCTGTTATTTATATGGTAGAGCGCTCGAAACGTTTTCCGCGCAAATGAAAAAAGTTACATGTAATAGCCAGGCTGACTGAACTCACGGATTCTGGATTGGCTGTCGCATTTTGAAGGAAAGTTTCACACGATAGCAGCCCGGAAATGATATCGTTCGAGTTTCAGTATGCATGTGGTCAAGGCGGACCTGGATGACCGAGCTGATATAACCACTCCCTCCCCACTGAACTGCTACTTATCCTGTCAGTACGCTCCCGCGTACACATGAAAAATATCCATCAGGGACGAATCAGTGCCCATTTCAAAGCACATGCAATAGCAGCATGGGATTCTTAGTGAAATTCAAAGTCGACGGCTTACTCTTCTTTCCGCTCTTCACTTCGGCTCCTATTCGAGAACCAATCGAAACTGAATCCTCAGCGATGAACGGTCTATGAGATCGGATTTGACTGAAAAACTGGGTTTTGGGTGCTTACTGAACCATTGAGCGTTATTAAGTGGTTTTCAAGCAAGTCCCCTGGAAGCTTTGATCGCCCTCTGTCGAGTGAGAGGAAGGACTCTGTTGGACGCTTAATACTTAAAAGTGCCTGTTGTTAGACCTAGCTCAGGCTGAGGCCTCACCGTGGCCCAATATGCGGCTGCCCTTCTAAAGCTTGATAACGTGCGCATCAGTTCGGGGCGATGTGTCTTGGAGGAGCGGAATAAGCGGCGTGTTTAGTTGTTTTTTTCACCAACGGTGATCGGTTAGTGGATGACTTAGAGAGAAAACAACCAGTGGTGGAAACGCTACGGGCAAGCTCGTTCCACCTTCTTGGAACCGCCCCGACTGCTTGCAGCGGTATCATCTGAGAGACCTTCCCAAAAAAAAAGTTTCGACTGGTCAAGCAGGCGAAGAGTCTATTCTCTTAATAGATAGGAAAGCAGTATAACACGTCGTAATCCATGGCATACCGTTGTTGGTGAATCCAAAATAGGAGGGGTCGTATTAGGTCACCAGAGGGGGGGGGTGTATTTGGGCTGAGAAAAATTTATTTTGATAGTTGATTTTTCTCGCTTCATGGACGTTGTAAAGGGAGGGGGGGGTCGTATTTGATCATTTTTGGGGGGTCGTCGTATTTACGTTTTGGCGTTGTGGGAGTGGCGGTTGACTTTTGGTGATTTTCCTGTTTCACGTACTATATGCCCCCCCCCCGCTCGACGGCTCGATTCGATGAGGAAGGACAGAGGGCTGGGGGGGGGTCGTACCAACTCCCAAAAAAGGGGGGGTCGTATAGAGTCGACTAAAATTCTCAACCAATGATGTGCCCTCTTTTAATCATCTTTTCTCGGTTGTCGCAGGAGCTCGAGGACTCCACGACTGACAATAGTGCTCCACGCCCTCACCATTAACCAGCAGTTTTGCATTCGGATCTGTTCAGTACTGTTCGCTGAGGACGCTCGGGCGCTAGGTAGCTGAGTTTGGCGCGGCGCTCGCCAGTTTTCTACCGCATGTAGCCCGCCAGCTTTACATCTGTTATAGAACGGATGGCGCCGCGCCAAGCCCAGCCCTGCGACACGCCCCAGTGTCCGCAGCAAATCAGAGGGTAAGAGTTGCAAATCTTTGCTTATTTCACAACCTCGGTTAGCGACAGAAGAGGATAAAACACTTGGAAGTGACGAGTGCCTCCCAAAACGTGCGATGCACTGGAGAGAAGATGCGTGAGCTGGTGGCAATGTGGAGGTCGAGCTGTGTTCAAGTTAGCAGTTTTTATTTCATGAGCAAGATTCAGGCAGCCTGTACTTTCATTGGGCGTATGGGTCATGTGAGACTTGACGGCACTTGGTTTTTTTGTCATCGTTCCAGTGAAACTTACCATTTGGACAAGGCTGCGTAAAGTTCTCACGTACAGTAAGCTGAATCAGCTTCGAGCTGCCAAAAATGGGAAGCAGCAAGACGAAAATCAATGATAACATGCTGAAAGTATAGGATTGAGAAAATCCTTAGGGAAATATTTTGCTGTACTACTCGATTCCGATCTTGGGCACAGATCAGTACACATATCTAGTTGAGAAGATGAGATGAACACATTTGTATAGAGCTTGCTGCACCACTTCCATGCTAAAATGTTGCAGTACACGCAATAATTGCCGTGATGATTTTCCGATCGAATCGATTTCCGACTGGCTTCATATGGCAGCTATTCCGCAAAAACGTTGCAAGAAACAAAGCACTATGAAGGTGAGGAAGCGCTATATCTAGCACAGAGATGCACGTGGGAACGAACGCTCAAATAATCGGGCTAAATCCACTTGTATTTATACATGCATGGCTATCCGTGAGGGCTCTTGACCTGAATCCTACTTTAGAGCGCAGCGCAATCGCTGCCGACCGTTCCCTCCCACGCTCACCCACACAAAACTGGAACTGGGCCTCACCGAATAGTTCTATTTATAAGTACATTTTACTCTGCCGGACCTTCGTGGAACGATAAAGCCTTTCCTAGACGTTAGACGATCAGCTAGCTGACTAAACCACATCAAAACCGACCAGCTAGCAGTAGACAAAAATCGGTAAACAAAGCCGAAAAGTCAAAGCTCTCGTTTTAATGGAGCCATTACGTAGACCAAATCAGAACTTTACACTTTCTACGGTAGTGGGGGATATCGAATGTATTTTAGAAGGATTAGTTGACTTTATAGCATCGCTGCGCCTCAGAGCTTCCAGCATTGATCAATCCTTTTTGGGCATGCGCCAAACTTCACATCCACAGACAACCACAGCGGTTTTCCGAACAGGGCAAATTCTGCCGCTGTGAGAGAATCGGCATATTACGTCCCCTCTCGAACGTTCGTCCCCTAATGCACCCCTGACCTGCCGGGAGAAAATATTGCACGCTCCTCGATCAGATGCGATGCTCTTATTCTTCACTGAGCAAGCAGTTTGGTTCGCAGTAAGCGGTTACATCATTTTCGCGACATGAAAACGAGTAATGAGGGCAGGCCTTCCTGGCGTCAATCCTCTCTGGCCCCGCGTCCCGCACCGTCCCGCCCTAATAACAGAAGACCTGCTGCCGCCACTATTCGGCGACGTGTATGGGCGGGGGTTCGTGCTCTGCAGTTCGCGGGTCCTGGGTTGTGGTGCGGTATCCCCCTTGCTTTTTAGGGGCTTGCTCGCTATAGTCTCCGTTCTTCCCCAAGTCATGTGATAAAAACAACGACGTGTCGAATGACGCATGGAGAGGGACTGACCTTTACGGGCAGAGTATGGACAAGAGTTTCTAGTTATACTTGCTAGGTGGCCTGCACGCGAAAACTAGACATATCTGTCTCAGAGCAAGAAAGTCTCCCAGTTAATCTTTAATCACATCGACTCGGTGAAAATCCGCGAACGTCGACTTGGAGGGGTTGGGAAGAGATGAGAAGCTGACGTCCCACCCCCATCAGATCGTCGCGCAGAGATCGTGCGCAAGTGACTTCCTGTCCTAATGGTGAGGAGCAGGGACGGCATTCTGTTTGGAAAGCAAGGCCGAACCTTGTATAGAGGCTCGCTAGAAAGATCCTAGACGGCGACAGGGGCAAGCCAACATCGCCTCATATAATCTGTAGTGTTTCATCGTCGCGCGACAGAATTGACAATGTAACCCTATACGGCTGTAGGCATCCTAAGACTGCTTGTTGCAAGTGAACACAAGTAATGAACGACTGCAAGGATGCGTCTGTATTCGCGGAGGAGGAGACGTGCGCCATATACAGTATGTCTCACGTCCCCCCCGCCATATTTAGTTTCTTGGCATCTTCGCATTCCCAATTTTAGCCCACCATGCAGAAAATATTATAGTGCGCTTTAAGCTCAGGACCATGCACGCAGTGAGTGGGTTTTTCCTGCCACCACACCGTTCTTGCTGCAAGAGTTCCAACTTGAGAACTCTCTCCAGGCAATTTGGAAAAAAAAACCGGTCGGTTGTTAAGATTTTTATGGCAATTATATCACATCAGATCAAGATCAGTTTGTTTACAAGTTAGTAGGAGGTTCACGTCCACAAAAACACGTCAGTATCGCCTAAGATTCGGCTAAGAATTCCGCTGTTTGCAGCACACGTTGCATGGTCGGTGTGTACCTCTTTGTACGTGTCACTTTGTTTGTACAAGCCAACTCAGTAATCATCGTCATCGTCTTCTCTCGACTGATGCTGGCAGACATCGTCAAAATCCACGGTTACAATCTGAAAATAAAAAGAAATTATCTAAAGCCACATTCAAAAAGATTCAAATAGGAGCAGATACCCTAAGCTTTTGCCTTCTCACAGTGTTGCCCCTGCCTCCTAACAAATCGGAAGAACGGGTGCGCCAATGAGGCAGATATGGTGGACAGGCGTCACCGTAGGTACAGCCCTGTTCGCTGCGGATGCTGGGGCTTTGTGAGGGGGACTGGGTCTGGATAAGAAAGCCCTTCTTCCCAATCAGTGAAGGCGCGTCGAAGCGACGAACACATTGGTGGGAAAACGTCTGGCGCCGCGCCACCCCCACCAAAATGCGATCAGAGGTAGTCACCTTCTGCTCAAAAAACTTCGCGAAAAATACGCCCTCGTTAACCTCAGCCAGAACGAGCGACGACCAGACATCGCCTTTTGTCCTTCTCTTCCTAGCGTTGCCGTTTAGACACGTTATGTTTACCCCGTACAATCATTACACGAGACTTCTCTAACCGCGGTAAAACAGTTTCTAAAGACGACTGCCGGATTCCTGAAACAAGAACACTTAGCAAGTAGGAACATGCAGCTGTTACCCCTTAAAAACCTACCGTAATGCATCTTGCCATGGGAATCTTCTAAGGAAATGTCCTTTCTGGATGCTACATCTACCACCCGCATTTTCTCCTTGAAATATTTGCCTTTCTTGTAATTCTCGTCGATAAACCGAACCAGTAAATCGGTTCGGACCCATAATTCTTCTTTCTGAAAACAAAAGTGCTGTTACTGATATTAATTCTAAAAAAATTAACATGCAATACTTGGCAAGCTCTAATGGCACCCTCCGCTTTCGTTTGGTGTTCAGACTGTTCAGACGTCCTCTTTGGACAAGGTAACTTGCGCACACACTCAGAGAACGAGCCACTGTTGCAACCCAAAAATACGAGACGGAAGCGCCACCGGCTCCTGGGCGAAGCCACGATCAAGTCAAAAGGCAATATCCCACCTCAAATCCTGAAAGCTTCCTGGCGGTAGCTTTTCCCCTTTCAAATGGTGAGAGTGATGTTATGAGAGATCTGACACCAATGAATGAGACCTCGCTCGCCCTCCCTTGGCCCTACATATAAGCACGGCTCGGCATAGTGCTCTAGGTAGATTTTTCGGACGAATTTCCCCTGCTTTCTTCCTTATTACTGCATCATCCTTACTTAAATGTTCCGCAAACGCACTACAAACGCGGAGTGTGCCTTTAGGTCAAGGTTCGACGACCACATAAATCACCTTGGAATCTTTATCGTGACTGGAATGCTTTTCCCGATACTTGTCCTTGGAGCGTTCTTCGCGATCTTTCCGATCATCTTTTTTCCGACTGTCATGAACGGCTTCATGATTTCGTTTTTCAATTTTTTCTCTTTCTCTGTCATAATCATCCTTATCTAAATGAAACAATAATAAACAGTTAAGTCGTTAAAACAACCACAATACAGAGCCTGACTGGAATTACTTACTTATACACTTGCTATCACGATCGTATTCTTTTTTCGATACCTGTTCTATTGCAAACAAGCTGACCTGAAAACAAACGGAAATAAATGGGAAGCACCGTAATGAACCGTAATGAGCAAGGGGTCCTACAAAAACCCAAAAATGGCTACCTCAAACCGTATTTAATTCTTCATTTTGAAATTCTCAGCTTCACGAAAAGAGGGAAATCATTAGAGACATTCCGCGACTCTTAGCCGTGGGTAGTGGGCCCAAACATGAATTTTTATGCTGCACTAAGTAAATAGGAAAAACCATAGAGAACACCCTGAATAAAT